TCTTTTATTAAAGCCTGTTGAGAGCATCTAGTACCTCTGTCCCAAAGTCGAAGATCAAATAATATGGAAATGTAATCTTAAATTCGAACAATTTATTTTTTATATATTTTATAATTAATAATATATTACTTTTTATTATATATGTAATTTTTAATATAATTTCTCTTGAAATGCAATATAATTATTTAAAGCTTATATAACGCCTAATGTAGTTTAACATGTCTTAGTGTTGGCAAAGGTCGGAGTTCGAAACTTGGTTAGGATAAACCATAACTGGTGGTTTTCAAGGCAGATCTGCACAATCTGGGTCGATTCCCATAATGCAATATTCACATACCCTTACATGTTTCTTCGATTTAGTTCTAAAACAGACTGTACTAAGCTTACTACGTATTGATGTGACTAAATTTGAACAGCTGCTCGTTGTGTCGCTTATGAATAATGGCGAATGAAACTTTGAAGGAAAAAAAACGAAACCAGAGCCAAAATAACTAGAATATTCTGTAAATATGATTTATGTCTTTCTAAAAACTTTAGGTATATTTAGCAAGTTTAATAAAAACAGGTGCATTTGGCTAGAGGATTAATAGGATCAACAGTTTGATTAGATGCTCACTAAATCTCCATGAGCATATGTAGAATTTTAGATTTTACAAATCCAGTACTGGGCTTCGAGAAGTGCCGCTGGGGACTGTCAGGATTAATGGAGTTCTAGCAATTCTTTTCTGTTTATTTACTTTAAAGCGTCTGGATAGCTTTCTTTTCTCCCTCTTCCATGAGCGTGTCAATGATCAAATATAAGGTCATTAGTACATTATTTGGAGGTTAAGGAAGGATTGAATTCATGCAATTCACGATTGTATGTTCCCATCAGTTAAATTAAGAAATGCAACGAGAACACAATCATGTTTCGGCGAATTCATTTTTCGAATGTCAATCAAACGAAGGCTGCTTCAGTGGAAATAAATGAAAGCAAATGTGCTGGCATTCCAAGTTAGGTAAAATAACTCTGTTGTAGCATACCTACGGACGATAACGTGTATGTCCCCATTAACACAATATAGATAAATACTGTATGTTTATTTGCAGTTGGAAATTCGTCTCCAGCTGTATTGGTCAAACTCTCTGTCTCCGGACAGCGAGGATCCCCAGACGAGGTTTTGTCGAAAGACAGAGTCTCGTCTCTGGGAACAGTTACCTGACCCCGTTTTATACATGGTCTACGGGGAATTTGTGGCCGATCCTACGAGCTCGGATACCCCACATTAAAATCATCCTTGTGCTACATCTGACGGCGAGGGGCAGTTGGTAGATATTCTGCAAATGAAGATTCATTGTGGAGTACACCTTACTCACTTCTAGCAATAGACTACTTCTACGCGCCGCTGGCGAATGATATATATGTTGTTCTTGCCCTAAGTATTATCGTTCATAACCAACCTTTGTTTGATTATTCTATTCAGTAAGCTTCTTAGGTTAAAACAAACTCATAGTTCACTCATATGATATTATATAAAATCAGAATACTTGTGTTCAGAAGATGGGAATATTTAGTATTGCGAATCTCACTCGGTTCCTTGTTATCTGCTTGGGTTATAATAATCTGTCCATTCGGACAAAACATCCTTATGGCATTAAAAGGACAGTTTAAGGGCATTAATAATTTCGCTTTCAGAACCACATTGATAATGTGTCCCGACATGCATTGTTACACTTCAGAGAAATCAAAGACGGTTACGTATTTAAACAGTGATTTCCATGTAAGGTGGCTGAACTTACGTCAATGTTTGGATGATTACACGTTAGAATTGGTTTCCACAATTTAGAAACATTCGTTTAGATTAATCTCTAAACGCCAGTCATTTGAGAGTTTGTCTTCTCTGCCGACTTTGCCTTGAACTTCTGATAGATTCTACGGCTATGTCGTCTTCAGATGTTTTTTTTTGTGACATTCTGAATGATTTAATATGAACGAAACTAGACATTGTGATCTTCAGCTTATAGGCCAATTTATAATTGATTGTAAGCTTCCTGAGGTAAACCTCTCTGGAACATTCTCTAAGCGTAAATCTTCTTAAAGTTTCCTTAACGTTCAATAATCTTATTTCCAAACAAATACCCCGCCTCTTACCTTGTCATTGTCATCGACGTGTGTTAATTTATTAACCAAAAAAAGTGACACTCATATTTTACTTGTATTCAGTCATGCATTCATTTGGCACTTTTTCTTAACAAGATTTTTATTTTTATTTTCTCTAATTTCTTTACCATGTTATTTTCATCATTTATCTTTGTGCACACTCTGCTTTGTTGTAAACGATAAAGTTTTCGTTCCGATAGTTGCGTTTAATTTTTAACCCAACTTTCCGGAGTTTTATCCTCTTCAGAAGGAAATTCATTTTCTTTACTGTTCTCTCTATATTCCTCTATAAAAAGCGTTTTCACATTGAAATTTGTCCCTGTTTATAGGATTTCAATTAGCCTTTCATTTCGGTGACGTTCCCTGAATTAAGAATTAAAATTAATTTCTAGTTTTAATTTTTTAATTAATGTAAAACAAAGAAAAGTTTTCCTTCATCTTTTTCGAGAAGATGTCAATTATTTGAATCAAACTTTTTCCATTTTAATTATTTTCGACAAATTTTATCATTTGTAGACTTGTAAGAGAAAATTAAATAAAATAATTTCCGTGAAGCCATTGTCAATTGACTTCCTCCTGAGAGTAATTTTGGTACTTCCATACACCATCGCAAGATATTTAAAGATGAGATATATGATGATGCCAGTCAGGATAGCGACTTGGTTCTCTTTTAAAAATGGTTAATTCTTACTCTTACATTTTCCTACAATTGACAGACATAATATAAAATAAGATACCGGCGGATTTTCATCTTTTGAAGAGAGTTTGTCTGAATGACTGATAGACTGGATGATAAATTGGGCGTTGCATAGATATCATATAGCTTCCTTGAATTTTTTGTTGAGATAACCTCTGTTGAAAGAGATACATTTTAACTTCCCGCAAAAATAGTCGAAGATTTGATAGAATCTTGGAATTGTAAGTAGATCTTATCCAAAAGTGTGCGGAGAAAATTTTCTCTGTGACGAACAGAGGACCAAAAAAAAAAAAAAAATCTGTTTACAGGGTACATTATTATTAAGATTTTATACAGAATAATGTTGATTACCAACATAAACATACTGATTTAAGTGACCAAGCGAGAATAATCTTTTACCTTCCATTAACATGGCTGATGCTAACCTCCAGGAGAGTTATTCATTTAGATTTCTCCGACTAACGTTTTAAGCTAACATGATGTGCAGCGACTATATTGAGGCAATTGCTAAACTGAGAAAGTCGGTTCAGTGTCGTGCTAGACAGGTCGTCTCGCTAGAATATATCTTACATAACTATAAGTCTCTCAAACGTCCTTGCTTTGAATATTGTCACCACATCTGGCCTTTTCCAACTGCTATATATTTAGAAATTCTTGATAAAATCCAAAGGTATTGCTTCTGACATAGCATTTTTTTTTCAGTCTCTTTTCCACCGCCAAAATGAAGCTACCCTCTGCCTTTTGTATAAGAATTTTCACGTTAATTGTTCTGATGAACTTTTTGCTATAGTATCGAGACTTTATGAATTTAAGCTCAGTACTAGATTGGCGGAAAGGTCTCATCATTTTATATTTTAAATCGTTAGATGTTACCGTAAATTCTATGCTGAGAGTTTCTTCTATCGCACGTCTCAAATGTCAAAATCTCTTCAAGCTTCACTGTTTACATAATTCGGACTATTGTCCTCATCTTGGTCGATATATATATTACAACGTTTCGGTCTTCTTCAGGTGGTTGGAATGTCGAACTGAACCCTTTATTTCGCTCACTGAGGTAGACTGTTCTACTTCCACGTACCATGACAAAGATGAGGAAAATACTCCGAATAATGTAGTGTACATAATATCTCATCTCAGAAATATAAACAGATACTCTTCAAGCTTGTTGCTTCTCTGTTAAATATGACCTTCAAAAATTTAAATGCAATGTCAATCGTTATTTTCTTGTTACTGCTTGTTCTTTTATTGTTCTCTCTTCTTAATCGTAGTTTTTTTCTCATAATCTCTAACATTCATTAACGCGCATGCGTCCTGGTGGTTTTATTGCCTTGCTTGAAGAGAATGTAAAAATATTTAATAAAATTAGTAAAATAATTAGCAGAAAACTAACTACAAGAAAAAGGATCAAATAAAATGGAGAGAAGAAAACCGATTCAGTTTAATTTGTGCGCTTTTTTAATTCGGCTGAACCGACATGTTTCTCTCTCCTCGGAAAAATAAAAAAAAGGATTCTTTTTTAAGATATTACTGGGTATTTCAAAAGTCGATTTTTCCTACACGTTCAGTAAATTTATGTCTGTATAAGTTTTTTCGGTTGTCCTTTATTTCGGATTTTTACTTTGCAGCGTCAGCCTTTAATAGTTGTTCTTCTGTTTGCGCATCACATAACCTGACTGAATCAAAAATGATAATTAGTCTGGTTGAAATGAATTATTTGATTTTTAGAGCAATTCATTCAATTCAACAGACAATATCTGAAATATTTCACATTGATCAATAACAGGTGTGTGATTTCGCTAAAATGTAATCGTCAGCAAGTTCATGAAAACGATGTTGAGTCATTTTTTATTGAAATATTTTGCTGTGTACATGGCTCTATTTGTGTGTTTACGCATGTGTATATTTACACAAGGCTTGTATCCACGTGAATTTTTATACTGCTTTTTTGAAAAGTTGTTAATGAAATAGTCAGTTTTCTCAGTTGCCAAATTCGAAGAAAAGGGAAAGTGGGATATGAATAGAAAGAAAGGAATTCCTGAAAGAAAGAAAGAAAGAGAGAGAGAGAGAGAGAGAGAAAGAGGGGTAAGCATTGTTAAAGGCTTATATCCACGTGAATTTTTATACTGCCTTTTTGAAAAGTTGTTAATGAAATAGTCAGTTTTCTCAGTTGCCAAATTCGAAGAAAAAGGAAAGTGGGATATGAATAGAAAGAAAATAAGGAATTTCTGAGAAACAAAGAAAGACAGACAGACAAAGAGAGAGAGAGAGAGAGAGAGAGAGAGAGAGAGCGAGAGGGGAGAGAGAAAATAAAAAAAATGTTAAGGAATAAATTAAACAAGTGAAGATTAACGGGGAATGTAGACAGTAATAAAAAAGAGACATCGATAAGAAGAAAGGCTGTAGAAGGTAGGAAATAATAGAAAAAGATGAAGAGGAGAATGAATAAAGCAGACGTAATCGAGAATAAACAGAATGTACAGTGAAACGTATAGGATTTGCGTGTCCAACGCAAGTCTTTCTAAGTGTTCTTTGGAAATTTGGTCAGAAACAAATTGTTGGGAGGTCAGCAGGAAAATGAATGAGCGTGACGTTAATTTAATCAGATCAAATCAATCTCCTACGTCATGAATGCGGAGGAAGAGAGAAAAAGCGGATGTGGCAAGAATTGAAGAGAGAGAGAGAGAGAGAGAGAGAGAGAGAGAGAGAGAGAGAGCAAAAACAAGACGTTTAATATAAGGAAAATATAGATGAAAGGTAAAGAAAGAAAGGGAACAGAAATGAAAAGAAACGACATTAGAAAGAAAATAAAAATAGAAAAGACGCACTGAAACTCTGAATGATGGAAACAGCAGACAACGAAAGAGAAGAAACGGAAACGATATTTACTGAGAGAAAAGTGAGGAAATCAACACGTTAGAGAGAGAGAGAGAGGGAGAGGGAGAGGGAGAGAGAGAGGGAGAGGGAGAGAGAGAGGGAGGAGAGAGGGAGAAAAGATTTATAAGGTAGATAGCAAGAAATGAATAGAAAAGTAGAAAAGAGAGAAGAATGAACAAGAATGAAAAATGATTTAAATAGAGAAGACAAATTGAAGGGAATCACAGAGACCCTTTTAAAACTACTCAAGTTCTATTAATTGAAGCTTTTAAAGGATTTGTTTCGAATATACAAGAGACAAACAATAGGGAATATTCACGTTTCTCATTTCTTTTGCGTCAAAAATCAAAAGCACATTTATTTAATAGAATTTTAGGAGATAGAAGATTAGTGAAAGTATAGATAGATAGATAGATAGATAGATAGATAGATAGATAGATACTGTATGAAAAGCATAATGGGGTCAAATATGAAAATGTCATTAGGAAGATTATGTTACCCCAAACGACTGGGAACAACATTTCGATCTGGAAAAATCAACGTTGGAAATCCTGGGTTAACAGTTATAATTATCGCTTATTGAATATATATATATATATATATATATATATATATATATATATATATATATATATATATCCTAGCTAGAGGCAACCGGGCGTCTATCACACTGATGAGCTGTGATACAGCGAAACAGTCTGTCTGTGGATGACAATATATATGCTCCTGAAAAATTTATTTCGGTTGAGCTCTCTGGGGAGAGAATGTGTGTTTGTAAACAGTGACTATTACGGCTAATAATGCAATACTTTTCGGTAAAGCTAATCGAGTCCTCTCAGTCACCTTATGTTTATCTGAAAATAAATGCGCTTAAATTCACCTTCATCCTTGTCGTGCGCTAATGGCTTAGTGGTAGAATCGGTGAATGACGTCAATTTAGTTGGGTTTCAATCCTAGCTAGAGGCAACCGGACATCTAGCCACACTGATGAACTGTGAAACAGCTAAACAGTCTGTCTGTGGATCACAATATATATATATATATATACACATATATATATATATATATATATATATATATATATATATATGTGTGTGTGAGTATTTCTTTTTGAATATAAGCGTAAGTTTTTGTGGCTATATGTATTTGAGTATTTGGCTACACACGCTCATCTTTATATGTGTGTCTGTGCGTGTTTATGTGTATGTCTGTGTGTTTATGAATGTATATGTATATGCGTGTGTGGGGGGAGAGAGAAACATTAGGCATATTTTACATAATGTTGGTTGATCTATGAGTATTCTAAAGTAGAGGTTGAAACGTACGCTATTTATAAGATTGCAGAGAATTGCTAGCGCCCACGATCATGAGGGAATTAAATTAATTAGAACTGCTACTAGTTTGTAGGAAGCAAGAAGCGGGGGTAATCAATGTCAAATACTATACTAGAGAGATATGGATTAATGAATTGCTTTCAAACATGTTTTGAACGTGTTTTAGTCTCTTCCATTCTTGCTTCTTTACTCTGCATTTGTCATTCTCATGATGTTCTGTGTTTCCCTTGCATTTGATTCCTAGCAGATAACCAAAAGGTTGATTGATATTTCCAAGTGCAAATGAAATTCGTCAACCCTCACAGTTCAATTGGTGCAATTCCAGCAGTATTCATCATCCATCAGGACGGCTGAATGTCACAAGATTGAAGCTGCTATCATTGGATTTAAGGTTGAAATAGAACTGCATTCCATGTAGCGATGTGAATAAAGAATGTGAAATCTGCATATGAAGGAAAGTATCATCTTGAATAAAAAAGAATATAAACACGATGCATATGAAAATTAAAGAAAAATACTTGGACAAAGTTTTGAAATCGTTAATATGAATATTACAAAGAGATCAAGTAATAAGATCAAGGTTATAACTCAGGCCTACACGGCGTGTGCAGTTCTTCAGGAACTGGTGGCGGGCAACTGTCAACTCGCAAAAGTTCGTTACTGGAATTTTATTTTAAATTTTTTCCTTTTACTTTTGGATTAAGTTAAGTGTATTATTCAAGATAATGAAGTAATTAATGTTTATTTATTTTATTTGAACTTGCGATATTTTATCTTTAGATAAACCTTCCCGGTGGAAAATTCACAAGTTAAAATTTTTATCGCATAAAAGAAAAAAAAAAAACTTAATATAAATTAAATATTTTACTCTGTGCTATTCTTCGTCAAGAAGGTCGATTATTAAATTAGATTTTTATGAATAATTTAGATTTTGATTTAACAGAACAAGCAGGTACGTTTTTTTTAAGTATGTTGAATATTTCTGTCTTTCGTAAATAAATAGAAGGCATTGCAAACAAAAGTAATGTTTTTCCCTACGAAATTAATGAAAAATGCTACTTATTAAGGAATTTGTCACAAAGTTAATTTCAAAAATTAAATTCAATAAATTTAATAATTTACAATTATTAAGAATTTATTAGAAAAATGTAAAGGAGAAGGAATTATTGCCGTGTCAATATCGTCTTTCTCTGTTTTACATATTTTTATTATTTTAAATCGCAAAAACTTGTTATTACTTAGAATTTTCTCACAGATATTTAATTTTTCTTTCAGCTATTATTCTTCATAATAAGGAATATCGTTGCTATAAAATTCATTTCTTAAGTAATAATTTGTGTCTTATTTATAACACGTGAAATAGATTGATACAGTCCTTGTAACACAGGGGTATTTAAAAAAGATGTATATTGAATTTAACTAGCATTCTTCTTTAAAATGCACTGTAAAATTATTAAATTGCTTAATTTTGTTTAGATAATCGTATTTCATGGGGGAGGAGGTGAACCATTCAATCTCCCCCCACCATAAAATACGATTATAAAAACTTTTAAATGGGGTGATTCAGCTTACAATATAACTTCAACAGAAAACAGACCTGAGCAGTGATACAATGTTGAAATTCTTTGGAACTACGTAATTCGTTAAATACAACTGAAAGTAATATAGGATGATAAATTCCCACATACACACAATCTTTAAAATTCTGATTCCTAACCCTTTAGAATACAAGGTTCATACACGTTTTTTTAGAAAATACTAGTTTCAGTTAATTTTTTTTTAACTTCAGTAGCCCAAAATCTTTCTGAAAATGGTAAAAAAGTACTGCGTTGTCGTGTTAACTATGATTAAAAAAATAAGGTTTGTGTATTTTGTTTCACTAAGATCACAAAGAGTGAGAAATATGGTTAAAGGCAACACTTCGAGACAACACTCCCTGACAAACCAAACACTGTTCTTTGTGAAAAGCATTTTTCATCTGATTATGGAACAGTGGTTATTACAAGAAAGTATGACTTAGAAATCCACCATCAATATTTGTTCCGTTGCCATAAATACATTACCTATTCCTCAACCAAAATTAGCAAACGAAATGTGAAAAATGATGAGTTGTCATAGTTTCTAGTCAAAATCCTTACTTTTGAAAAATTCTATCAGAATATTGATCATAAGGATTTTGTCTCAGCAGTTATTTGCCATAAATCAAACAATCAGCTGTCCATCCAATGTCTTCATTTGGGGGGGGGGCTGGACGTATTTAATTAAATTTTTGAAAAAATAGAATTTGAATGTTACAATGCTGGTATATATAAAACAATTTTCTCTCTTTTAAAAAGTTGAATATCAATGTTTCCGTATTGGTTACGAATGAGCATTTCGTTATCTTAATAGCATAAAAATCGGTAAAAGAAAAAAATGAAAAGAGTATATTGATGCTATGTCAGCACGAAGGAGTGAAACAAAAAATTATGATTCTGCTATTTCTATGAGAGCATGTGAATACTCTGTTACATTTGAGCCGTTATATAACTGATTCAGGATGATTTAAATTACCTAGTGTGAAAATCTTATCACCTCTGACATCAAAAAATTCAGAATTAGGGAACTTTAATTTTCTGTGTGATATTTTAGTGAAATATCTGAAAATCAGAACAAAATTCTTTAGTTAATGAAGTGTATGAAGTTAGCCTAAAATACCACAGATGAAACTTATTTGATTTGGGTGAAATCTTTTAGGGATTAGCAAAAACAGTATTGGGCATCATAATAAAATGTTTAAATCAAGAACCAAAAATTTTATTTAAAAAGATCTTAATTGCAAAATTAGAAGAAATTCTTTATATGAAAAGAAAATTTATATATTGTTGATGCAATCAAACAATCAAGTAATTGCTATTGTATGTGACAATATCAGAATCCGTCAAAAATTATACGTACTTTTGATTCTGTGGAAAATTGGAATTTAAGAATATTCGGAGTAACTGGATACCAGCAATATATTACCAGTGAGAATGTTTTTAAAAAAATATTAACAGCAATAAAAATCTTTTCAGCATTAAACAAACCCATTAAGCAAACCCATTAAACAAACCCATTAAACAGACCAAAGCAGAATTCACTGAAAAGCAAAGCATTTTTTACAATTGAAGTTCTATAAAGAGTTTCTTTTTTAAACAATCTGAATATGGCGATAAACTACAACCTAAAGCAAGTACTCTGAACGATAGTTTCGAGGTTTGTGGAGCGTGGAACCACCTACTAACTGTTGTTGTTCTCAAATTCGGCATGACCAGTGTGGTAGCCCCTGATAGGGTTCAATTTATGTCTAAACAGTGAACCCTCAAACAAAAACAAAATACTATGAAAGTACAAGAAGGCATTTGTTATATTAAAAATACTAGCAATTCATTTTTATATAAAACCTTACCAACAATACATATTTATTGTAAAATTACCAGCAGTTCCTATTCATAGGAAAATTATAAACAATATATTTTTAAAGTATAATGACCAGCAATACATTTTATAGTACAGGCTGCCCAGTAATTTTTTTATTAGTTTACCTTTCAGGAGTAATTGATTTTGAATAACCTTGAATAAACTTCTTGAATGTTCATAACTTGCCTCCTGGTTACCATTCTACTTAATTTGTCTTGAGCATTCAGGAAAACATTTCGAACATCTTCGATGATTGTTCAGTTTGTGTATAAATCATGAGAGCTAAATAAATATCTTTCTGAAATCATCGGCAATACCTTTTATAGGGAAATGACCAACAATAGACTTTATTTGTAGTTGGGGATATACAAGTGCGTTCAAAATATATTTAGTTGAATGTGTTGAAAATGTTTAGATTTTGGTATTAAATAACCCACAGAGATGTTGATATGCCGCGAAACGGAATAAACTAACTAAGCAACTATTGGAGTTGAAACACATTTTTTACAGAATACTTACGTAAAAATAATGCAAATTTAATTACTGAGGAAATAAATTATACACATTTAGCCGCTTAAGAATTTATGCATATCTAGTCAATTATGAAAACGGGATAAGGCTTACGAAAAATATTAAGAGTAAAATTATTTTTCTTTGCATTTCCTGAGAATGAGTTATTTACAAAATATTTTTCGGAAAATATATTTTAA